AGTTTTGAGATCTTGATGTAATTGTGTGGCTTTTAGTGTAAAGATATGTGAGAAGTTTTTAATTGTATACTTTTTTTTAGGGATGTGTTGAAGTGCAGCATTAATGATACAAGTATAAATTTTATACCATGTTGTTTCTAAGCTTTCAGATGTATTTGTTGTTATTGGAACTTTGTGTTGGATCATGTTGATATTTACTTGTTCTGTAAAATTTTCTCAATCTTCTTTAGACATTGCTTTGTAGTTGAAGACTCTACATTTGCTTTTGCTTTTGTGTCTGGTTTTAGATAGGGCAAATAGAAAAATCTAGGTAGAAGAGAGGATGTAATGATCACTATCTGTAGAGGATGAAGAATTGTTTAGTTGGAAGTTGTATAAATATGGTATAAGCTCTTCACAAGCTCATATATAGTCAATTTTAGTGTGGTATCTGGTGCTATGCTAGATATTTTGTAAGTTGTTAGTATGATCAGCTAAATTATACATGTTTATATTGTGTAGATAGTTAAGTAGTTGAATTTGATAGCTGATAATACTGTAGTATCATTATTTATATTAAAGTCTTTAAGTATGATAGGATAAAGATTGACAAGTTTGGCTTGTTGAATCCATGTTATGGCTTTGTTTTTGTAAGCTTACGAGCAGTTGTATTTGTAGAGGAGAGGTATACTGAGATGATTCTAAGTTTGTAATCATATTTAAAATAAAGATCTACTGCAATAGCACCTTCAGGGTGAGTTATAATGTTGTATATATGAGGTTTAATATTGTTATGAACCATAATATATGTGCTCTCTTTGGATTCTGGTAGATTAGACCAGAAGTAGGTGTAGTGTAAAGAGTTTCAGAACTTAGTAGGTGCTGTATTAAAAATTTTGGTTTCAGTTAGACTAACAATATGTAAATTGTGTGTTAAACAGTAGTTTTCCCATAGTAGTCTTTTTTTAGGTATATTAAATCCTTGAATATTGTGTGTTGCAATATTGAGCTTAAGTGAAGATTCAGGTACTGGAGAGGTAGAAGAGGTAGATGGATATGTAGGTATATTAGATTGTAATTTTAGAGGAATATCTTGAGAGTTATGAGTTGATAGAGCATAATGGTTTTGTAGTATATCAAGTTTGTGTAGTAGATACATATGTGCTTCAGTTTTGTCACTATTAATAGTAATAAAACTATAGTCAGCCAGATAGTTGGCATTGTTTTGTTGTAGGTGTTGTAAAAAGGAGTTGATCGTTTGTAGTTCTTTAAGTAATGGAAGGTGGTAGTAATTAAGAAATTTGTTGTAGCAGAGTTGCTAGCTGTTTCAAGCTCGATTCTCACAGTTGCACAGGATTCCATAGTATGCTCTATATGTTGGGTCTAACCATCATATAAATAGTTTTCTACATATAAAGGCTAGAGACAGATGAGCCAGGTCGGCCAGGCTTACATAGACCCAAAACTGAGCCCAAAAAATATTTACAAGCCCAAGCCTAACACATTAAAAAAAAAAGCTCATAAGTACAGGCCGGGCTGGGTTTTAATTTTAAACTATGCTCGGCCTAAGCCCAGCCCATTGTAATTGTAAAAAATAGTACTAGGCTGATACATACCCAAAATCAAAACTAGTGATATGCAATATGTATAAAATTATAGAAAAGCATTACACGTATGGTGAATTTATTTATTATTCATTGGAAGCATCTGGCTACAGCACCAGATATTAAACTTTATTGATGATGATTATTGAGAATATGCAGCATATATGTGTGCAGCTGATGTTTAAACTGAGACAGAACATGCTTTCAGAAATAGCAACTATAATTGCTCCAGGTATCAGCTGAATTCATGATGTATAATGATACGTGTGATGAAAGTCAGTAGTTTCCCACACTGCATTAAGCAGGCTGACTTGATATGGATTATTAAAGATGCCACAAAATGGCAGAATTCTGCTTGGGCTGGGAGGGTTCAGATGCGAATCTTGCTTTTTAATTATGGTGGGATAAGACCTATAGTTTTGTAGAAGTTGCTCTTTGTATTCAACTGAGAATAAGCTACTATCAGTAAATATAATAATTCCTAATTGAGCAATTGATTAAATCTAAACTTATCTGTATGCATATGCTTTCTTACATGATGCCAACTTTATTCATATATCCGATTTAAACAAATTGAGCATTGCTGTGCACTGGTTTATCTAATCATCCAACCTGGCTGGGTTGTTACTATTGTGACTAGTAATATGCCACATACAATACTGTATGTACTGTACATGAGAAATTTACTGATCATTTATATGTGGTCTGTTTTATGTTTATTAATTAGGTAGCTGCACAACAGAGTCGCACTAAAACCAAAATGGGAAGCTTTATTTGGTATTAGGAAATATGTTTAATCACAATATATATAAAAAAAACAATAAGAAATTTTTCAGTCATTGCTTTAAAAATTTAATATAATTAGCAGGTAATCACTCGAGGATGAATCGGTTAACCATGCCAGTAGTCCTATAGGTAGATGCAACGATCTTAGAACTTGGACTGACTTATGTATCACATGTTCTGGGTGAGTTAGATAGATTGACATAGGAAACTCAAATCAGAGGGTTTAATTGGGTAGCTCAAGTAATAGTAGGTTATAGGTACGGCATCTAGTGTAGCACCTAGCACATAGGTAGTATACTTAATTAAGCACCCAAAAGGTGCAGATATGGCTAGAATGTATCTTCATCAGAATGTACTTGTCTGAGGCTCCTTTGATAAGAGCACCACATGATCCTAATATCTAATAAAAGCGATAAGCCAAAGAGGCTAACCTTGACTATAAAAAAAAAATTTATTATAATTATAGTATAAATCACTTTCATAAATTATTTTATTGACAGCCATTTCATTGATAAAGCTTGGGTGATAGGTTAATAAATGGTTAGTGTTTGATTAAACCTTAACATGTATCTGTATAGCTTAGTCAATAAGCATTTTTTGCGAATAATGAACAATCTATACTAATATTTAATACTGTGAAGATTTATTTGTCTGTTTTCTATATTTTATAATTTCAATGACGGGTAAGGTCATAATTTAAAAAATGAATGGTAAGTTAGTGATTTGCAATGATTGGTGATTAACAATTTTAATGGTGGGTTGAATAATGATTTTAACAATAGGAGTTGGTGATTTTAAAAATGGGTGAGTAATTTGAACAGCAGTAAGTTTATTATTTTAACAGTAGATCGGTTAGTTAATTTTAGCAGTAAGTAAATTAGTAATTTAAATAAGTAAGTTAATTAGTATTTACAATTCAAATAATAATAAGTTAAAGATTTTAGCAATGGGTGGATTCAGATTTTGTAGCGTAAATTCATGAACTAGCAGAGATTTTAACAGTGGATAATCATTTACAATGCAGCTTATGGCTTTGATGAAGGCGGATCGTGATTTTAATAGTAAGTGAAGAATATACAAGATGTGACAACTATGATCACGATGACAAATCAGGTATTAGATTTTGGTACGCACATAATTTCTTTCTTGAATAAGCTATATACTTCGTGATATTCATCAATCTGTTTCTGGTATTAAAGATTTTGCTATAGTAATAATGCATACTATTTCTAATTATATACTATATATACTGTATATACTGTACTTATTGTATGTACTGTACATACTGTATGCAAAAAAAATTGAGCTATTATATAAACGGCATATTACTAACTGTATGATAAAATTTCTGCTTTGCTGATCACTTCTGCTAGCCATTTAGATGTTGAAAATGAATTATACATACTGCACTACTATTATAGTTTCTTTATAGTTTGTGTTAGGCTATATAAGGCTAAAATATAAAAAATTTTCAGAAGCTTTACCTAATAAAATGAAGTAAAACAAAGCCTTCTGATCAAATAATAAAGTAGAATAGTTAATTTCAACTATTACTAACAATTGAATTTCTCTTAACTGTTAGCAAATAGTAATATTTACTAGAAAGTTATCAGGTATTATTAGGCTGTATAGGCCCAAATCTAGCCTGATATTTTAGTGGATCTAGCCTAAGTCCAGCCCAAATAATAATGGGCTCAAAAATTTAGGCCCGAACTGAGCCTATGCCCAGCCCAATTTACAAATTTCTTGGTTTAGTTTAGCCCATTCTGTTCTCTAATAGAGGCTTTACTGTCCGCCTCCATACCTCATTTCCTTACTAACTACAATGGATGTATCTTTTAGTAAGGTGGCAGCTGCATTAATGTTCTGCAAAAGATCTTAATTGTTCATAGTGTTTGTTTTTGTGTTTGTGTACATGTATTTGTATTTGTGATTGTGTGTGCCAGTATACAGTACTACTCTGCATCTGGAAATACAAGAATTTAATAAAATTATATTATAGTAAATTATCATATAAAATATGTATAATAGTTAAATTTTCTATTAATACATAGTTAAAATATAGTATATTATATTTTAATCATATATTTAGAAAATTATTTCATGAAGGTTAAATCTGGAAGAATTCTACACTCTTTAAAGACCAGTGTCATTTATATTAAATTAAAATCAACCATAATTTAATGTCTTGAGAAAGTATAACTATGAAAAATGAATAAAGATTATTAATAATAGTTGTTAGATATTATTTTGATGATTTTAAGCTGTGTTAATAATTCTGCATAAGTGCATTGTATAAAAAAATCATTTGTAATATGTGTTTTTTGGTTTTATGTGCAACTTGTACTTCCTATTGGCAAATAACAATACAGACATCACATGTTTTTTTTAATAATGTGTTTGGAACAATGCAAACAATACTGACTTTAAGGGTGGTATAGAAACAATTAAACTATTAGTGTTAAAATGTAGGTATAAAACAATGTGCGGTTATCTGAGTAAGAATTTGCATACTGAGTGCAGTCTCTAATGATTTGTATAAATATTTGTCTGCTTAAAGTAATTCGCATTATATTTAATCTTTTTCGGTTTAATAAATAAATAATTTAAAAAATCCTGTAACAAGCAAAAATGAGTAGTGTTCCACTAAGATGTAAGGGCAAGAAAAATGAAAATTCAAATGAAGTGCTTTGAATCGTGAATATAATAGATTACACCAACTAGAAAAATAAAAGTTTAAAACTGCTGAAGAGTGTGAACAATGTTTGGCAAAATGCGTAAAAGTGCTTGAAAAAGAAGAAAACTGATTTTAGGGTCTACTAAACAAAGAAATGATAGTATTGTAACAGAAAGTGTAGTGCATCCTAAAAACACATTATATGTTCAACAGCTCTCCAAATTCGACCTCAAGTTTCTAAAAAAATTTCATACTGAGATGAATAATTGTATTCTTAGCTTTTGCTCTACATGCAAAGAACTTTCTCTTTAATAACTCTAGTTAGAAGAGAATGTTGACGGTGTTATAATGAAAAAGATGAAATAAAGAGATTCTTAGATGAAAATAATATAGATCCTGGTGATATGCTAGTAGAATTAAAGGTCTAACTGAAATCTAAAAAATGTTAATAGCCCAAGTTTTCCCTATTGTGTCTGTATATTACTTACATGGTGGTTAATACGCATATTACAGAAATGTAATTAATTTTCTCTAAGATGTAAAAGAATTTGTAACTCGACTTCCGAGGCATCTCTTATCATTAGAAACTTTAATTGTTAGGTGACAGTCGTCGAGAGGGCAGCAAGCATTCAGAAATTTCAACATCCACCACTCTACTGTAAAACAAACATTTTATTGGCTAAAGGCAAACAATCATTGACATCAATTATAATGTGCTATATTCTTTAACTGATGATTGACTAGTTGAAGATCTGCTTCCGCAACTCCAAAGCAAAAACAAAAAACTTCTTCAGATGCAGAAAACTATTGTTCCAATAATGCTCATGCTGATATAATTACATGCAATTTCGTTTCTACACCTGCTCCATCATATAATAAAGAGATGCTATTAATAACACTTTTGCTTGAATGCAAACTGATTCTGAAGCAATTATATAACTGAATATAGAAAAAACTCTTATTAATAAATTTAATACTTCTGGTTATATTGCTTGTACATTTCTAACATTGTATCTATCAGGTGATGCAGATCTTCATACAGAGTATGCAAAGAAGTCAAACCAGCTGAATATTTTAAGCATTTACTTAAATACACGGATAGAAGGTTTAGACAGTATCCTTGATAGCGATATTTTGCTCTAAATTCACAAATGAGATGGAAAGCATTACAGAAAGAGAGAATCTATATAAAGCAGTATTAAAATAGTATACAACTTAGTGTTGAAGAAGTTCAAAAGTTAGTAAATGGCAATAGTCATCTTGCTGACAAAGTATTATATTTTGGAGAAGATTTGTATAGAACACAACATTTCGGGAAAAGATAACTTTTTGAATTATCGGATATAATTAAATAGTTAAAAACATGTAGGATAATTTTTTTTACTTTTAGGCAGCTGATTTATACTGCCCAGAACTTCATAAGCTTATGCTGCATGGTGAGCATCAAATTGAAGGCGAATCAGAACAAGATACAAGTAAGCGTTGTCATCAAGATTTAATAGATAATTCTCAAATTACCACCTGGTTCTTTGAAAAAAGATTCAAAGTATTCTTGGAAAAGGTTTTAGTCCCTAAGTGGGCTTTAAAGGATTATTAATATAGATTCAAATGGCAGCATTGCGGCAGTGTTCATGTATATGGTATCAGAAAAATGAAAGATGTGCTGAGTTTGATTGGGAAAGGATGAAAAATAATAAAGAAATGAATACAATAATTAATTATTTTAATTCATTAGTTACTACAATTAATCCTGAACTCAATGCACCTGTACCTAATCATCATCTGTGCCAAAAAAGCAGGGAAAAATTATCTGACGACTTACAGAATTACATTGAGATCATTAACAAACTTCAACATTATATATGATGTAGTACTGCATATTGTCTTTATGTAAAGAAGAGTTGGCAACAAAGTTGAATTGAATTTTCTAAAGATATTATAGAGCATACCATTATTTCTGAGATCAATATCTATCTGGAACTCTTCACAATGTGAAATGATCCTTACATAAATCTACATAATTGGCTTCAGCTTCAGGGATAGTATGCAAATGTTGATCTAAAGCCTATTTTAAATATTTATGCTGCTCTTCAATATGTAGTTAAATATGCAAGTAAATCTGAGCCACGTTCTCAACTTTCGCAGAACTATTAAATAAAATTCTTTGTGAAAGCAAACCTTCAGACTCTTCTCTTGGTGCTTTTCAATGACTATTGCTTCATACAGTTGCTGAACATGACATATTAGCACAAGAAACATGCATCTTCTTCTTGTATTCTGCTTTATTTTCCAGTTAGTGCTTTGTAACCTTAATCTTAATAAAGAATCATCTCAGTAGCTTTGTGGTACTAAAAATGCGAATTTTGTATTAGCAAGTCAAACTGGACATACAATGCAATCTCCTTTATAAAGATATTAGAGTAGATCTGTTAAGCTTAAAAATCTCTCTCTATTTCAACTATATCTGAGATATAAGTTTTGTAATATTAAGTAAAAGAAATATAATCGTAAAAACATTAAACGCATTTGGCCAAAACCATTGTCTCAACAAAATGGCCCTCAGTGAAAAGAATTCTGCTATGTAAAAGTCTTACTTTATGTCTGTCACAGAAATCTTGAACAGCTAATTGAAAATCATACTGTCATATAAGCTAAACTCTTTAATCAACATCTTGCGAAGATTAAAGTCAGAATAACTGATCTTCTCAGATCATCTATATAAAATTTGGAAGACTTTTTTAATGAGGTTTGATGATGAGAATAAGCAACCAAAAAAAGATGATGAAGAAATTCATGATGATTGGATGATTTTAGCTAAAATAGGTCTGAATACAATTGTTGATAGTTTTTCTGGTTGGGTTTAAGTTATACAGATCAAAATCATAACTGGGTTGATAATGTCAGGCGAAATTTTCTAAACCTAGATCTCGATAATGTAGATACATTTATACAGCAAATTCATAGCAGTGACTCTAATAATAAAGAAAATTTAGATAATAATGCTATAGATTACCAAACCTTAAATGAAAATTAACTAAAGATTTTTAAACAACTTGAGTCACATTATAATAGTATTATTATGGGTGTTAGTATTGAGTCGATAAGAATAATTATTATAGGAACTGCAGGAACTGGCAAGTTGTACCTGATTAACACAATTCTACAACTACTTCAAGGGATGGCAAAGAGAAATAATGTTGAAAACTCTCCTATTATTGTGCTTGCGCCAACTAGAGTTGCATCATTTAATATTCATGGAACAACTATTTATTCAGCACTTTCCATTCCAGTAAATAGTACTGACTTTGATATAAGAGAGGAAAGTTTAAAGCAGCTACAAAAAAAATTGAATAGTGTAAAATAGATAATAATTGATAAGAAAAGTATAGCCGGATGTCGCATATTTGCTTTAATTAATATGCAATTATATCAAGCCTTTTCTGAAAATCAGAATCAAACTTTTGGTAGTCGATTAGTAATATTAGTTGGTGATTTTGGCCAACTTCCATCAGTGCTCGATTTGTCAATGTATTGGTAAACCATTAGTCATGATTTGTTATCAAATGATGGTATTGCAGCTTATAGACAGTTTCAGGAGGTTTATTAACTTAATATTGTTTAGCATCAAGCAGAAGATTCAAATAAACAGTGTCATTTTAGAAATATTTTAATGCGATTAAGGGATGGTGAATCAACAATTGATAATTGAAAGACACATAGCACACAATTCAAGCATTCTTCTGACATAATGTCAATAGATTCTCAACAATTTGCAACTGCTATATATATCTTAAGGGTTGGGCTGTTTTACTGACAATCATTCTCTCATCATATTAATTTGCCAACAATTTCTTTACTGAAAGGTCATTTTCCTAACATCCTAATTTATCGACAATCCTTTTACCTACAAAATCATTTTACCGACAGTCATTTAATCAACAGTCATTTCACCAACAATAATTATTATTATATATTTTATCATAAAATACGTAATAATAATTATTGTTGGTGAAATAACTGTTCGGTGAAATAACTGTCGGTCAAATAACTGTCAGTGAAATGATTTTGTAGGTAAAAGGATTGTCAATAAATTAAGATGTCAGGAAAATGACCTTTTGGTAAAGGGGTTGTTAGCAAATTAATATGTTAGGAGAATGATTGTCGGTGAAATGGCCCCAACCTATATCTTAACTTGAAAGGTTGAAGTTGAGAAAATTAATAATACATATTAAAATTATTAAATAGACCTATTGCTAGGATTCAAGCTGTTTATACTAGTGGTAAAGGCCTTGAATCAAAACTTTTGTTAGCTAGGAGAGCTCGTATTATGCTTAGAGTGAACCTGTGTATAGAAGTTGAGCTAGTTAATGATCCAATAGGAACAGTCTATAATATATTATTTAAAGAAGATCAATGACTACCTTTACTTCCTATCATAGTTTTTGTAGAGTTTAACGCCTACAATGGTCCTGCAATTACATTAGTAGAAGGAAAAAAAATTGTTACAGTTTTTTCTATTTGACACTCATAGAATACAAATACAGTAACTTGCTCATATTTACAGATTCCCCTCAGCCTTGCTTGGGCTGTTACAATACATAAAAGCCAAGGGCTAATACTGACGAGTGCTAAAATCAATCTTGGAAAAAATGAATATGCCACTGGTATTTCATTTGTTGCAGTGTCCCAAGTCTGTATGCTAAAAGATATTCTCTTTGATCCATTTTAACTTCAAAGGCTTCAAAAAATTAAGCAAAGTAAGAGATTGCAAAAAAGAAAATGAAGAAATTCGATTAATCTTAATGATTACTTAATCTTTAATATGATAATAAAGTTTGAAAAAGGAATTTTTTATTTTTTTTTAATTAAATCTGCTCTGAACTAATATAAAAAATCAATGTTTAATTGAATTTTATCTGGTTGTATTATATCACTACTACTGTTCACTTGTTACATTGTTTTTTCTAAAAGCAAGAAATTTTCAGTTATTATTGAAGCATAATTTGCAATATGATTTAGTTTTTTTGTTACTTGCAAACAGTTCTTTTTACATTTTTTTACAGATAATCTCACCTAATATAAACTTTAGAAAAGTTAATAAAGCCTAAAAGAATGCTGCTAAACTCTAAT